GGCGTAGCCCCCTCCCCCCCTGTATCCCCCTCCCAGAGCAGTCCTGCCCTGCTGGGAAGAGCCTGGTGCAGCCCTGGCCCCAGTCCACCCCACGCAGATCCAGGGGCACATGCCCTTTCTCCTCCTCCATGCTCTCCCAGACAAGCAGCAGGAGCTGCCAGGCAAGTGCCGGATGAGTGGATGAGTGCACAAACAGCGGGCACTGGCGGGAGCCCACCCACCAAACCACACAAGCTGTGGCCCCATCCCAGCTAAACACTAATTGCCCCAGCCCCACTCCTCCATCACCATGGGGGTCTTGACCTTCCCCTCCCCACCTCTTCCTTTCCCTCTCCCCCCTCCCCTTCCATGACAACACTTATCAGCTACAGGCTGCTCTCCATGCTGCCAGACTGGTATCGAAAATCGAATCTGTATCGCCCGATATGCCCCCTTAAAAAAAAAAAAAAAAAAAAAAAAATCAGCTAATCGGTATCTGATACAAAAATCTCTATTGGTGCACCCCTAATTTACAGCATAACCTACCCTTAAGAGGAAGCTGCTTATGGCTTGTCTATATCCACTATATTCAGACAAGTAGTGTTAAACTGATATAGTTCTTTTGGCTTAACCCTCTGGCTGGATGCACACATGACAAACTAAACCAGAAAAAGATGCTCACTGCCCTGTCACAAGATGAAGGTTAAATTAAGTGCATTACCACTCCACTGCAAAAGCCTTGCCTACTTCTTGAGTGTCAAAAATTCAAGAGTTGCCTGCCACACTTCTGTAGGTGCCAAAAGAATCAACTGCCCCTACCTTGTTGCCAAAACAATTTCAAGTATGTAGCTATGCGGGTAGTAGGAGAAAAATGCGCCACACTGGAAAAAAAACTGAACCACTGAACCATTTGTTTTATATCAAAACAAATGCCACAAGAAAGACAGTCCCGGCAGAATTATTTTTCAACATTACATTATTATTTCAATAACTACCTCCAACTGAGGCTGCCACTGAATTCCAACAGGCTTTGCCATGGAATTTAAATTTAAACCTGCCACAAACTATACATGAGGTTCATAGAATGGGGTGTTATATAAACTTACTAGCAACTTGGTGCACTATCTACATTATTCAGCAGCAATAAACCAAGAGTGCTAAGCAGGTTATCCTAAGTCAGAGCCAATAAAAGCTTTGTAGCACATCACATCCTCATGCATTTGTTATGTGCTACATATTTCACAGGAAAAAATAAGTTTCAGAGAGCATTAAAAAAACCTGTGCACTGGAACAAGCTACCAAGAGAGGCTGTGGAATATCCATCCTCAGGAGATTGTTAAGACACAGGTAGACAAAGCCTTGGCTTTGATTATAGAGATGGAGATAGTTCTGCTTTGAGCAGGGGGTTGGACTGGATGGCCGCCTAAGGTCCTTTCCAACCCTAATTGTCTATGAGTTTACGTCTATAAACTTTTTTCAATACCTCCTCTAATGTCTTACTTATCTGGAGTTCAGCTGTACAGGGATCAGAACCAAGCAAAGAGAATAAATAAAAATGTAAACATCCCTAAAATTAATCTTCAAAAAAGAGAAAAAAGTTTATAGACGTAAACTCATAGACAATTAGGGTTGGAAAGGACCTTAGGCGGCCATCCAGTCCAACCCCCTGCTCAAAGCAGAACTATCTCCATCTCTATAATCAAAGCCAAGGCTTTGTCTACCTGTGTCTTAACAATCTCCTGAGGATGGATATTCCACAGCCTCTCTTGGTAGCTTGTTCCAGTGCACAGGTTTTTTTAATGC